GGTTGAATTTGGGATATCTTATCAAATTTGACAACTGTTTAATTTTTTTTATGAAAATGTACGCTCCCAACGCTGTGCTTGTATAAAAGTGGCACTTCATATTCGATTCGAATCGATGTAGATTGTAATAATTCATAAGACCTTCATTACACAAAAGTAAAAAGAAAGTTAGCAGAAAATAGGTACTGTTGAGGTTCAACTACACAAGGTTTTTGAACTTGAATGTATTAATTTTCGAAACTTTGCAGTTTCAGAAATGAATACATATAGTCATCGCTGTGTGAGGTACATGAACAATATGTATAATTCAAGTAAACGATATAGTGCAACCTATCTTCTAACAGTTCCCTTTTATGATATGGTTAGGGAGCTAACTAATTTTGTTATTCAATAATCTTCAATAATCATTTCTGAATAAGAATCACAGTAACTGATAATATAATAAATATTTCGTCTACATAGATGAGTGGAAAAGTAGGGATTGAAATAACAGAGTGATGATTAAAAATACTTCTGAATACTACTTACTCACATATATATACAATCGATCGCTTCAAAAATACTTCACTAACTTTCTTCGAAAGCTTTTGATTATTCCTTTTCTATATTCTCTGTTTCACTATCACTGTCGTCATTCAAATCAATAATGAATTCATTTCCATCATTAATATGGAAGAGTCCAATCTTCTTATAGTCTTTTTCAACTAAAATCACTTTTTTAATCCTTTTCTGCCAGTCTTCTTCAGTAATATTAGATACTTCTTCTTTAAGTAGCTCTATATTACCTTCTCATGAAATTTTGTAAAATTATTTTTACGCCTGATGCTTTGTTTCAATTTTCCAAATTATGTGGATAATTTCACTTAATTTTCAATATAGTTGAACTATGCTTTGATTACAATGCTTCGGATTACTTCCTCAATTATTTTCTCCCAATTGTCTCATTAGAAATATCAGAACTTGGGTGCTTCTTGCTTTCCTGAACCCATGTTGGGAGTTTTTCAATGTGTTTTCTGGTTTCTATCTAAGTGTTTTTTCTATTATTTTGTTAGCACGTTCTCAGAAATGCTGTTAATGTTGGGCTTCTATTTTTGGTGCATTTCGCTTTTTATATATCAGCCTCATTCCAGCCATTTGATATGTCTTTCAAAAATTTCTTTTTTCCACTTTGCTCCGTGAAATTTATCATCTCCGAAGTAACTTCATTCTGAAGTGGAGATTTTTTCAGCTTTAATTCACTTATAGCTTCTGTAATCCATTCCTCTCTTGAGTTTTCTCCTTTATCTGATTCCGTAGCTTATTTAACATATTGTTTCCATTTTTTTAACGACTTCTCTGTCTTATATTTCTCTTATATTTCCCAAAGTAGGTATTTTCTTTTCTTTGAAAGGAATTTTTTGTGGAGGATTCAATATTTTTTGCTGTATTTTGGGTATATAACCTTCCAGAATCTGAAAAAATAAAACCTAAATCAATAGAGAACCTGCAGCAGTGTAATGAAGGGCAAACTGAAAAGTTTACCCCGATAAGTTTCTGGGAAGTATGTACTTCTATGAAGTTCAATTAGTCAGTAACTTGTCGCATCCAAAAATTTTGCCAACAAATTGAAAAAATTAAATATGAATACTTAGCTTCCTCAAGTGGTTGACGTTTCGGAAAACAATTCTTTTCCGTTTTAAAAACCTGAAATTCACGATGAAATTCTCGGCCCAAACTGTGATGACTTTAATTTCTTTTGACACAAGTCAACGGTAATAGGAATAGTAGGGACTGTATACCGTTATGATACTTAACAAAATGTTAAATTAAATCCCTCAAAGACGACTTACCTTGAGTGGATTGCGGCTGTCTCATCAGAGTCCTGAGATTGGTACCAGTTCTTGGAATCGAAGCTAATCCGTGTATCAAGAAGCACGATATNGAAAAAAACAAGTGTATTTTTGTTCAGCTGTTTTCTCTAGTGCCTCTTTCTCAAAATATAGCATAATTAGTAATTTCGATGTTTTAATTTACAACAGCAATCGTAGTGTAATAACGTAAGATGAGAGAAATCAAGTATTTTGATCTTCTCGTAACTGATAAATGATAATTTCTCGTAAATGATAACTTGTCAATAACATCTGATTCATAAATACCGTAATTTATGACGTATAAGTGGGTCTTTCAAAATATCCCGCTGATTATAATTTCCAATTGATCTATCTTTTTTAGTAACTGATAAATTAATGACTGAACAGTAAGATGAAAAAATGTATTATTCAGGCTAAGATGATTCAAACTCGATTTCGTGAACACGTGATTATTGACAATAAATATTCATGAAAAATGAGAAATGAACCTTTTTTTTACCACTTTTATTTGTAACTAACGTTACTGCAGTTTCGTCCTATAAGGACATTTTCAAACTCATACATGTTTAATGTATGTATATTTTCTCGAGTTTCGCTCCGTGTTCTGTTGTGAAACTCCAGATAGTCCGAGAAGATGGCAAATGAGACAATTTTTTTCTGATTGATTCGACCGTTACTTGATGAAGATCAATAGTAATTTCATAAAATAACACCTTACGATTTGATCTCCTCAAACTTTATTTTTTAATATCACGACATGTTTCGCTAACACAGTTGCTTTTTCGTAGTGATTGAGTCGTTCACTATGAAAAAGCTACTGTGAATTGAGTACTTAATTAACTACGAAAAAGCTACTGTGTTAGTGAAACATGTCGTGATAGTTTTTAAAAAGAAAAAATGAGACTTTGCCGAAACGTTGTGATAATAATCCTAATGACGATAAAATATACAGAACACGAAGAATAATCTTAGGACGTTGATTCCAATATTTCGACACTTTTTAATGTTATCATCAGGGAAACTTGTCCATTTGATTTGCATACAACCTCGTTGAATGAATATTTTAAAATATTTTTGAAAATTCAAGAATTAATTTCCCATTCATTTATCGAATATATTTTTTTTTTAGTTTGCATTATTCCTGGCAGAGGGAGTTCAGGTGTATAGGAAAGAAAGTATTGTGTCTTTTGGAGAAACAAGAAAGGATAAGATCAAAGTTCATGGAATTATTATGGTAACAGGATTTATATGTATGTCAATAGGAATAATTCTGAAGATCTCTCAGAAAGAAGATTCTAATTTGGCCCACTTCACAACAGTACATGGAAAATTAGGTGAGAGATTTCAAATCAAGAACTAATCCAGAAAAATATCAATACATATCTGTTGAAAGGGAACATAAAAAACATGTTTTCATAAACGAACTCAATATGAGCTGAAAGAAGTAAAAAAAGTTTATATTTGATATTTAAGTGTTTTCATTTCCCTCACCGGCTACCGGTCAGTATCCGGGCGGTTCGACGTAGGTGTTTTGTTCACTCAGTCAAACGGTCGATGTGTGAGTCGATGGTTCAAGCCCCAGCCTAAACGCTCGATTTTCACTTGCTATCGTCTTACCCGTATTAGGAATCACACGATAAAAGATAAGACCTCGTTAGTCCTTAGCTCGCACAAGTTTCGACTTCTTAGGGTTGTCGTTCGTAGGGGTGCGATAGCTGGTTACGCAAAACGTATTTTATACATATAAATCTAGTATAATAGTGAAAGCATACTTTATTGCTTCCCGTCGCCATTGCAATGGTAATAATTCTATCTATTGAATTTAGAACTGTGTTTGAAGGATTAAATTTTGTGAGGTCTCTGGATCTTGAATATCAAATACCTGTCCTTACTCCTGATAAAAGCGAGTTTTCAAACTTCGCATCTCAGTTTCATACTTGATAATGGGGTCAAACCCGAAACCGGTCGTATAAATAAAATCAACTAGTGGTAATTAGACAAAAGAGTCGGTCGGTAGCCAAGCGGTTCGGCGTGGGTGCTTTGTTCACTCACTCGAATTGACTGCCGTGTTGATCGGTGGTTCAATCCCTAGTCTGAACGATCGATCTTCACTTGCTATCGTCCAACCCGTGTTAGGAATCACACGTTAAAAGGTAAGACCTCGTCAATCCTTAGCTCGCACAGGTTTCGACTTCTGAGGGTTGTCATTCGTAGGGGTGCGACAGCTGGTTAACGGAAAAACAGATTTTGAACATATTTTTTTAAACAGATTCATTCCATTAAAGTGATCATGAATTACCACAAAATAAACAAGTCATCAATCACACATATTAGATCAGTCAGTCGAGCAACACAGATGACAATGTATTATAGACTACAACTAAAATACAATATAGTATCTTTGAACCTGATGTTTAATAAGGAGTGTGTAAAAAAGAAGAATCATGCCCAACTTCATAAAATTCAAGTTCTGCGTCCAGGATACAACTAAAAATACAAGAACTAAGGTTGGAAATGAATTAAAGGAATCTATAGATCGCGAGACAACTTGAAATTCCATCTGAAATAAGTCCAAGACGAGTTAAGACATGTACTCCATAACGTGGAATTTGACTGCCTGGAGGATAAGATTAAACAAGAAATTAGTAAAGTATCGAAAGAGAAATATGATAAGCTGAAAACTAAGTGCTCCTCAATAAACAAAAGCCAACTATGAAAGAAGAAAACATTCAACATTCGGATCAGACATTCCACCAAGATTCGTTAACCTAACTAATACCGATTTCAATAAAAAAGAAATTGAAATTCTGGAAAAAGGACCAAAATTCGCTCCCACAGACAACAAAAACCCTCTTTCCTCTGGTGCAGATCCAGAACAGATATATCAACCTGCCTGCGGACCTATTGCGAAACAAAGTTAAAGTTGGTAGCAAATTGCTAAAAACGACTCTCCTCAATGGAAAGATTCACCTAATTATCTCTGGTCTGGATTCCTGGTCACAACGACCTGGAAGGCAATAAGGCTGCTGACTCCCTTGCAAAGGAGATTCATCGGACCAGAACCTGTCGTAATTGGCATTGCATTCAAAAATTGAACATTTGGATGGCAAGAACATTTAAAGACTTGTGGCAAAAATCGTCCAGGATTGGCTTACTCCAAGGCGTTCATTCACTCTTCGAAGTTCGAAACCAAATAGTTGTTGGACTACAGGATGTCTAACAGGCCTACTTACAGGTCCCTGTCGTCTGAATCATCATATGCAGATACTCGGACTGTAGGAAGACGGTGTGTGTGTGTGTCGGAAAATGATGAAATGAAACAGCAGAGCATATACTATGTGCCTGCCCCGCAGCACATCGATTCAGGTTTTCAGAGTTTGGTGGAAGCACACTTCTACCATGTGACCTGAAAGATCACTCACCGTATAAACTAATCGGTTTCGTCGAGAAGCTGTGTTTATTTGGTCGAGTTTGAGTAGGTGTGAACCACAATAAACCCTTGCGGGTTGCATTGGAGGATCGACTAATCCCACTCACTTTTGACCCAACCTAACTACCACCTTTACCTTATTTATACACAGCCCCAATCATTTCGAGTTCAGGGAAAATGGGGCTTATGTCGAGGTTGAGCAGTTTCCTAGGAGCAATTCTTTGGGATCACAAGGAATTCGTACCATCGCTACAAAGAGTTTATTTTTTTATTTCACTGAATCGATGCCTTTCGATTTTATTAAGAGTTAACAGTTTTCCAATAGCTAAATTAGAGAGCCTCTCACACAATTATCTTGGAGATTTTCTAAAGTCTGTCAGAATTCATTGAAGATTTACCTAACTTTTTTTTTCAGAATTAATTCAGCCCTTCATTCCGCCAAGTTATATCCTTGTTGATGAATTGATATCTTTCAGGACAGCTGTTTTCCTATACTTATGTAATAGTATTTTGTATTTGCTTGACGGCTGAATCTAGTTTCTCAACCATATTTAGAAATGAATAAATGCTATCATCTTTTCTCCTAGAATATTTTCGAAAAAATCCAAGCCAGTCAATCGATTTGGGTATTTTATATCTCTCGAAGCGTGTCTATTATTATTTCAAGTCGAACTTGCTGATGGTCAGACATTCATCATCTCTCAGATACATACCTATTACCTATTCATTGAATAATAATATTGATAAATACTACTTCTACCAAGCACCGATGTTGTAACTGAGGATACAATATAAGGTAGTAATACATGAGACAATAAACAAAATATTCATAGTAAATAAATGACAATCCAGTTCAGATGGCAGTTATGTACTGTTTCTGTTCTTCCACCTGTTCCAAGAAAGTTGAGAATAATAATTTTAATAATTTAGATGAAAGAATTTCAACAGATTTCATTTGAAATAGGGAGAAATAGAATAAGAGGATGGTGGAAATTAGTCTAAAGATAAAATGGCAAATTAGGTCTAGAGAAAAGTAACAAAATAGAGAGCCCTTCAGGTACTGAGTTAGATTTACCAAATGCCAAGCAAATAATCTGTGAGTTTAGGGCTTGATGCTGTTCTGGGGGAATTCAAAAGTGAACTATCAAGTTCATAGATATTATTGATGAATGATGCGATACTGGAATGTTTGGAAATTTGGAATGTTTTGAGATTGTAAGAATTGTTTGTCGACGAATATTCAGATTGTACGAAAGCGTTGAAGGGCCACACAAAAATTTTTTTTTTCGATTTGTATAATCCTGACTTTCATCTCAGAATTCTGAGTTGCGAGTCAGAATTCTGACTTGTATCTCAGAATTCTGACTTGCAAGTCAGAATTCTGACTTGTATCTCAGAATTCGGACTTGCAAGTCAGACTTGCAACTGAGAATTCTGAGATGAAAGTCAGAATTATACAAATGAAAAACAAATGTGTGTGGCCCTTTTTGTATAATTCTGACTTTCATCTCAGAATTCTGACTTGCAACTCAGAATTCAGAGATGAAAGTCAGAATTATACAAATCGAAAAAAATGTTTTTGTGTGGCTCTTCAACGCTTTCGTAAGATTGTGTAAGTCAGTTCTGAATGCCAGTTTTTTTGTGTGAATAGGGAGGTGTACACAACGTGAATATATTGTAAAACATGCAAGCCATATGATGTCGATCTCTGTTGTATTAGTGAGTCATTCAAGTTGTTTTAGTTTTCCAGAACTGATATGCGTTCAAATTTACGAAGTTCATAGATGAGTCGAACACATGATGATTGTATTTTCTAGATACGTAGATATTTCTGAGCAATTTAAGCAAAAACTATACAATGCATCGAAGTGGTTAAAATGCGATGGATAGATAGATAAATATATCGATACATTTTTATTACTAAATATCAGCCATTCATTCATTTGGAATTGTAAGATACAGGATGATTCTTGTAGATCGAAATATCTACAAACACTTTGAATTCGCAACATTCATGCCGGTGATCTGATATTAGTTTATTTTTATGCTGGAACAGTATTCATCACAACTGAAATTGGTAATGATCAAATCAATTAGTGATACAGATGTATTGTATCCTATCAGGTTCATTGGCAACCTGAGAAAAATCAAATGAATCCAAAAAAGCTAAAGAAGAAGAGCTAAACTCTTCGACTACTTGTATACACATATAACACCTTGGTTACAGAAAACATGATTCATATAGAAATAATAAATGAAATTAAATAAATCAGGTGAAATGAGACTCACTGATATTTGGCCCTCAGCATATGATAAACAAAAAAAAAACAATTATATTTCAGCAAATAATGGAAGTTGTACCTATTGAATTTGTGTCATATCACTTTCATCGCGATGAATTCTGTTATCATGTTGCCGTTGCGGTAACAGATATATTTTTTAGACAACTTATCTATGGCACTTTTTGTCAGGTTCAGCCTCTTCCGTGTTAGATCTTCCAGTACAGAAATTGTCGTCGACTTCAGGTGTTGTTTATTGTTCATCACTTTATCACGCGTCACGGTGTCAAAAAAATTTACCAAAACAGCTGACGGATAGCTGTCGGTATTTATTACTACATACTTTTTTCGGTTATGGTTTTCACTTTCATATTTTGATTTATAATTTCCAACACAAGTAAATTGTCGCCAGTATTATCTTGAACAATAAAAAATCTAATATTTGTATTTCTAGATATCATCATCGATTCAAGATAGTAGATCATACTTTACCTGGTTCAATTCTACAATATAGTCCGATAAAGTTCGTTCATATTTGTCACTGATTTTTTTGATGATTTTATCCACCACACTTTGTAGTTATCCTTCAGTAAATATGTCTTTAGTTTTTGTCAACTAACGTGGTTATTTTGTTCCAAGTCCCTGTACGCAAGACCTATTTTCAATGTGTCCGATACTTTTTTACGGCAGATGGCAAACAGCAAAAAGAAGTTGAGGATAAACGAAGAAACACTTCCAACTAGTTCATGAAATGACACAATGGACGACAGTTTCGTTTTTGATATGGTGGTGGACAGACGTGCCGATAATGACCGTCTGCCATCAAAAGGTCTCCAGAGCAGAAGTCGACTTACTGAAAATCTCAACGGAGCTTCTGTCAACTTTGATAGGAGGAGACTGAACAACTGCGCTAGATTGGTTAGCAACATCCAATAATATGAGAGAGAGACAGAGAGAGAGAGAGAGAGAAAATGGACATCTCATAGAGTTATGACTTCACAATGTACTTGAAATCAATAAGTATCAGGACACTTATGGTGATGTGACTTACTCATTCGCCATCTTGAATACATGGAAGGAAAGGGTTGAAACCTCTTTTCAAATTGCATTCATCAAATATAGTTTATTTGTTCTGTTTATAATTCCTAGATTAATGCCAGATAAGTAGTTTAGAGGACACCCACCCTTATATTTTTGTATCATAGCCAGAAATAAAATGTCGCTTATCTTTTCAACATCATCTGAAAAAGGTTAGGTACTGCCTTATCACATCAGGCTGGTTCGAAAGTCGTTAGATGACGAAGAAGTTGGATAGGCGAACTTGGTCTCTAAAATGACCTGCTAGATCGCCTGATTTGACGCTTCTAGATGTAGATAAAAAATATTTAGAACGAAATTATCACAAGAATGTTTCGTAATGTAAGAAATGAATGGTGAACATTCATTAGAGTGAGTTCTGTATATATTTTTGAGATCATGGTACTTTTCGTTCATTTAAAAAATCTCAAAATGAATATAAAACTACTGATCACTTTCATACCAAAATGTATTGAAAACGATGACTTTTTGCGTAAATTTCCCCCGATCTCGATATCTTTTCTCATTCATGAGTTGAGGATGGGGGACTTTTTACTATAATGAAAATTATGTCAACTGCAAATGTTTTCGTTAGATGTTGGAATTAGAGGAAACACTTCAAGTAGATACTAGTATAGCACAGATAAAGTCATTCTAATGATGAAATACCGAGATATGGAATAACTATCATCGTCTAGACCGAGTAGATATTATCAATCAATACATGGCTGGATACAAGAGTAGATTATTTCTAAAATTTCATAAATTTTCTAAATTGAGGAAAAACTTAATGGAAAGCATGATGAGGTATACTTGTAAACCGGTATCTGTTTATATCATAGTCCAAGAACCTGTGAACGCCAGACCTTCATTTCATGAGAGCTGAAAGTTTCTCAGTACATGGCCCCAACTTTGGTGGGGATTGAAGAGCTTCTATGAAATTATGATTATCGTGGCTTTGGAAGATAACAGTTAGCAGAGGTGTGACAATTTTTGTGTGTGTAAAATTTATTTTTCAAAGTGTCAAAATGTTCATTGGAATTATATTTCGTGATGTGGATATTTTCAGCCGCATTGGATAGTTAATGTTGCTGAAATGATTATTTATAACCAAAAATACTGTCGTTCTTGCTTATCAATACGCATTTCTGTACTATCCAGTGACGAATCAGTGCTCACTGTTATTCGATCTTAAATAAAATTCCTCCAAAAGTACTCTTGTATCACTACGACCTTGAATAAGGTTATGATTGGACCTGCATGGGTTAGGTTAGGTTAGGTCCAAAGTGAGTGGGTCTATTCGACCCTCCACCGCAACCCGCGATGGTTTATTGTGGCTCACACCTATTCACACTCGGTCAAATGAACCCAGCTTCTTAACGAAGCTGATTAGTTTGTATGGTGAGTGGTCTTTCAGGTCAGATGGTAAGAGTACGGCTCTAGCGAACTCTATAGACCTAATTCGGCCCCCAGCGGGGCAGGCACAAAGTATATGCTCTGTTAATGAGGTAGTCGGATAGTCAAGTTGCAAGATTTCCACCTTGATACCCACTACAATTTCCCCATATGAGGGTTTTTGCACGTCATCTACACCTGACGATGCTTCAAATTCAGCCGTGCAGGGCTTTTTCGCCTCCGGTTTTAGTGATTCATCACTTGAGCGTAAACGTTTCCTAACTTGCTCATGGGAGGTTTATTTCCCCACCTGAGATAGATTCTGCGTACGCCGCTCAAGAATTTGGTGCAAGGCGGATTTAGAAAAGGTACCCCGCTTTCGAGGAGACGACTCAGTCGTTTCCTGGCTGCACCACCAAATTTTTTTTTCAAGGTTCAGTTATTGGATCAGTAGTTGGGGAGTTGAAAACCACTCGCTCCTGAACTAAATTTACAGGGAGGTTCGTTTGAGTCGTAAACACGACATTCATCTCCTCTGTAGACTACCTGCATAGGACGTAGAACCATTGGCAAGGACCTGAAATATTCAAAAGCTTAAATCATCAAACTACAGAATGATATAAAGGAACTAAGAGAGGATAATAAATCCGACGCAATGTACCCTAGAATGGATTTTGAGGAAAATCCTCTGAAATGTCTGAGAGACAAAAACGTCAAAGTGATGTTTTGATATATACTTTCTCGGAACCTGAACAACAACAACAACAACAGGACGAATCTGAAAAAAATATTGTCTCCAGTATTTTGGATAGAATTCCACTGGCTACTTCCAATAGGAAATTGTTCAGAATAGGTACTCATTCTGAATAAAAAATACGTCTCATTGAAATTATTGTCAAAAATGAGGACTACAGCGGGTATGAGTGGGAGATTGGGAAATGCATATTTCCAATAGCTTTGGCACTTCCAAATCCAACCAGCGGGTTCAAACTCGTTAAAGTGTCGTATCTATTAATAAAGCACCTTTTGTCAGAAACCACTACACTCATCACGCGACTGCGGTATACTGAGGTGTTGAAGACACCATTCATCATTATTATCATTATCACCATTAATATTATTATGATTTCAGTTATAAGTGCTTTCTGAAGATGTTAATTCCAAAATGAACAAACAAACAACGTTTTCATTTTTGTAATATTATTTCAGTTATATCTAATATATAAAAATGGATGTTTGTTGTTTGGTTGGTTGGTTGGTTGGTAAGTGAATAAACTTCTATATCGCTCAACCGATCGTGATGAAACTTGACATGTATAAGTAATTTTTCATAGAGAAGGTTTCTAGGCTATCAATTTTCCTTTAACTCGCCACTAGATGGCGCTGAAGAACAATTTTTTGAAAGCACTGTTCTATAACGCTGCGCACGCCTAAGTTCTTTGATTCTGATTCTGTTAAAACATTGGAACAACAGCGATACATTACTATGAATTACTAGTACATAGTACTAGTAATTCATAAAACAAGGCTTTATAAAACACGAATGACAAAGAAACTCTAGTGACTACCTGAAGAGTTGATATTGATCTTCAAAATTGGAAGTTTGAATTGTGATATTCTCAAAAATGTGTAATGAAATAATTTTATTTTCAGGTTTGTCGGCATGGATCCTCGCTTTTGTGGCCAGTATAGGAGGAGCTATATCCGCTCAGTTTTCATTTGCAGGAAAAACCGCCACCATCAGACTTGTTCACCTTTTAGTTGGTGTTATTGCCTACCTCCTTGGAATTATAAACATTGGATATGGATTGAAATATTTGGATGTGGGAGATAACGGGAAAATATTTCTCATCGTTTTATTGTCAATTTATGTATGTTACAGTTTCATGGGACCACTTTTGTCAGTTAAAAATTACTTCAAGAAATGAATATTGAATAATGATTTCAACATGAGAAATACCAAAATTGTATGAAGGAGAGCCCAGGAAAAATTATTATACCTACTAATCATCATGAATAGATATTTTTGATTACGAAGAAATTTATTTGTAGACCAAAATCGGTGAATTGGCGGAGTGTGTAATGCGCCCGACTCACGAACGGAAGGTCGTGAATTCGATTCCAACCTCCACCAGATATTTTTCTCGAGATAATTTATCTAGTTGAAGTTGGGATGATTCTGCGAAGGTGTATGGCTGACGGACTGCGAATAGCCTTGAGGCTCCCTGGGTGGCTCGGGGAGTTATTAACATTGTTTACCCAAAACACGAGACTAATGACCAATGTAGTTGATGCCGATGACACAGAAGAATAAAATAACTTTGTCGATCAAATGATCTACCAAATTAGAATATTTTCAATATACAGTGTATTATAATGTATAGTTACTGTACTAGTTAAATTAGTAGAAGGGTGGCGTATCAAATTTAGATTTTTTAAATGTTATGAGATCTTTTGCTTTCTATATTCACATGGGTACCTATATACCAAGTGGATCATAAGATATGCCAAAAAAGACGTCAAACTGTTGATCTTTGAGCCGCTGATATTTCCAATGGAATTCATTTGAAAAGAGATGGAACAAATGAGAAGATGACAAATTTTTCTATTCGAAATCTGATTTTTTTTTCGAAAGCCCTTTGCAAAAATATCGTTTTATATAAGGTCAATATGTAGCGTTTTGAAAGTAATAATGAAATAGGGCTGTACAACAGACATATATAAGAAGCAGACGAATCTTTAAATGAACATGTGTATTTTCCTTTGCGAAAAAAAACGAATAAGCTGTTTTTTGAAGTCAGAAGAGGGTAGCTCTGATATATGTAATTTCATAGTGGCATGTATAGACCTAACTATATATATAGACCTAACCTAACCAAATCTTTATTGATGTCAATTTGCTCAACTTGAGCAAAGAAACCTCCCTGGAGCACTGTACCACGACTCGATCTCTTAGATTTTGTAACAAGTTGCTATTTTAGAAAATGATATTTCAACAAGTTTCATAACTTGTTAAATATTCTCTTTGATCTTCACCAACTGGGGATGCATTGGAATCAAGTCGAGCTCAAGCCAATGTTAGTAATCTAACGTCAAGTCTAGACAAATAGTTACTTCGACAAGTTCTTAAACAATGGGGTAGTCTTGATATTGCCGGACATAAAATAATTTCAGGTTTTTGTGTCGGATGAATATAATCACACAATCTAGATACATCACTGGTATTGTAATGAAGAGTTCATTCGCCAGGAGTGAGACAGAAAATAGGCTAAGTGAAATATTTTTTCATCGCAGCAAACAAGTCATGGAAGTGAAACGAAACGATGAATAAATTGATAGGTACAAGTTGAAACAAAACTTTTTTCTCCATCAGCCCGGTATGGAAAATTATAAATAATTTTTTTATTAGCCAACTTTGGGTGAAGCCACACACGAGGGTTCGTATGGATTTATCGTTTAATCTGTTGCGGGGTATTAGTTTTAGCGGGAGATGACCGTTTGGCGGGAGTTGGTCGTTTTTCGCTTGATTAGAGGTTTCCATATGTTACGTATTTCTACGGTAGCTTGACTGAATGCGTTGTTGGACAACATATACGCGGCTTCTTTTAATTTTCTCCTAAACCAGTGTTCTTCTTTGTGGATAATTCCAGCTTGAGCCCACTTGATGTCATGTTGATGAGTCCAAACATGCTCTGCTATTCCGAAGGTGACGATATGTCTGCAGTTCCAAAAAGTTCTTTGTAGATTTAGATGTGCTTGGATTATAGAAGACCGTGCAATGATGACGTTCTCCAATTCTTCATTTTCAAAATAACTGTTTTTGCCATGTAAAATGTATACTTTCCTTGTTTGTCAGTCGCCTTCTTTCTCGTGGGATCTTGCTCAACGATGAGAAAATCAGTAATTATTTATCTTTTTCCACGCTTACCTACTACCATACAGTAACCTTGGTCTTTTTTTGTGAGTTTCTGCCTTTGGGAAGTGCCTGGGTGGCATTATCGTAGAAGATCCAATTTTCATCACACGTGACGACCCGATCCAAAAAGGATCGTTTAGGCTGCGCAAAAGCAAAGAAGAAGATACCTTGAGATGTGACAATTTCTGTTGATCTTTTAAATCGTGGGGCACCCACTTTCCGAGCTTTTTGACTTTTTCAATACGTTTCTGTTGAGGTTTAGGTCGAACACAGGATTATTCAACAGTAAAAAACTTTAATGAAAATAAATACACAAATCTCAGAAAACATTAATTCAAGTAACTTGACAGTGACAACTCTATCAATGACTTTTTTCATCAATAAAACAAAACCTAATACATGGTGATGTAGATTAAATTTTTGTTCATTCCTCAAAACTTCTCCTTGAACTGAATTCTCCATCTGCCACACCCAGTGTATCTCTTAAATATTCAAACTGACTGGTAACTGGTAACTGGTAAAGGTTTTGTCATTATATCGGCTACCTGAGCTGCGCTTGGGATATTTTCAATACACCTTTTTCTTTAACAAAATAATATTGCACGTCTTTGTGTTAGGTGCGCGTTCTTTATCAATTTAACTGCACTTGCTTTGTCTATGTACAATGTAGGTGTAGACAACTCATCAGTTAATACTTCTTCAAAGAGCCTCATCAACTACACCAACTCCTTTGCTGCCTCACTGCTAGCTATAAATTCCGACTCAGTAGTTGACAGTGAAACGGATCGTTGCTTTTGACTTAACCAACATATCGATCCATTTCCAAATTTGCAAACGACACCAGATGTAGATTTACGGATTTTTACATCTCCGTCATAGTCTGAATCACTATAAACTTCCAACTTAGTATTTGAAATTTTGAAGTGCCACGTAAATACCTGAATATTATCTTTACATTTTGCCAGTGACATTTCTCAGGTTTTGAAAGTGCTTGTGAAACGAAGTTTACAGCAAATGTAATATCCGGCCTTGAAACTACAGACAGATGCACTAAATGTTCAATAACAGGTCGAAAAGGAATATTTTCGTGCAGCTCCTCAGAATCTTTCCCTGAAAGATGACATCTGTCAGCTGGAGTGGCTACTGGATACGCTTCCATCATTTTGAATTTTTGTAAATTTCTCTCTCAGTGTAAGGCTGCTGATGAATGGAAATACCTTTCATTTGACGAATAATATGAATTTCCAAATAGATGTCACATGATTCAATTGTGATTTGAAATTCCAGTTTCAAAAAATTAAGCAAGTCTTCAATTGAATTTTCATATTTTTCTGCTATCAGTCCGTCATCAACATATAGAACAACCAATAACTTATTTTCTTCTTCCCTTATGAATGCAGTACTTTGCTTTAAGCCAAAACGATGAAAAATCACATATTCGCATATTTCAACAGCTCTTCCATACAAACTTTTTAGCAATTTACAAACTCGAGCAGTTCCATCATCGAAACCTTGTGGTTGTTTCATGTAGATTTCTTCGTTGAGCAAATCATTGAGAAATACCGTTTCAACATCAAACTGACATAAATGCAAATTTTCTCTGGCTGCCACTACAAGAACTGTTCTAATGGTGTCGAATCTGGCTACAGGAGCGAATCTTTCATCGTAATCTTGCCCAGCCTTTTGAGAATATCGCTTTGCAACGAATCTTGCTTTGAACTCAGTTGATGTACCTTGAGAAGATTCTCTTATTCGGAAAATCCATCGATTTGAGATTGCTTGTCTTGATGAAGGAAGATCAACTTTCTCCCAGGTTTGATTTTCTTTTGAATGTTTCATTTCTTCATCCATGGCAATTTTCCATAATGATACAAAATCTGGTTTCAATGCTTGATCATAGTTTTCTGGGACATCGTAAGCCTCCGAAATCATAGCGTAAGCATCAAAATAATTTGGTTTTGATAGTTTTGATTTGTCTCTCAATCCTTCTCGTTTGGAATTTTCTCCTAACTGCTGACAAATCTGTTCGTCACCTACAGGTGACCCAAAGACCTTGAGATGTTCTACATAACTGTCTTTTCCTGATCACAACTCAATCGGGAATTTTTACATCAATGAAGGTAGGTCCCCTTTTGTTCAATATATACACATCTGTATTGACTGATTCTGCCCACAGCTCCTCTGGAAAATTCTTAGCATGTAGCATGGTTCTGGCAGAGTCCACTATTGTGCGATTTCCACGTTCTGCGCCTCCATTTTGCTCTGGTTTATATGGCATAGCAATCCTATGATAAATATCAGTTTTGCTCAACAATTCTTCCACGTCATCGTTATTAAATTCTAGTCCATCATCAGTAAAAACTTCTTGTACAGTGTGGCCCATAGTTCTGGCTTCTACTAGAAAAATTTCTATCTTGAACTTCACTTCGGACTTCTCCTTCAAAAAATAGACTGCCCTGTATTTGGATAAATCATCCTTGAATAACACATGATAACGGGCACCTCCAAGAGACGTTACGGGCATTAGACCACATACATCAGCATGTATCACTTGACCTACCTTTTGGGGTCTTTCATTACGTTTTTCGAAGCTCAGTCTACGTTGTTTACCAAACATACAAGCTTCACAGACTTCACTGTCGACTTCTACATGAATCTCACGTTTCTTCAAAAACTTCTGAACATATCTCTTGTTTTGGTGGCCCAGAAAATTGTAGTTGATCATTAATAGATATTTTAGCTTGTGCCTCAACTTCAGGTAAAACAACAAGCATATTCATATAGTTAAGACCATTTTGTCTTTCTGCAAATGCCATGGCATTATTTTTGAATATGCTACAACCATATTTGGTGAAAGATGAAGTCATTCCATTATCGAGCGCAGAAGAAATAGAAAACAATTTTCTTCCCACCTCTGATACAAACCAAACGTCTTTTAGGTAATTTTGAGACCACTCTCTGTTAACACACATTTCAACATGGATATCCCCCTTTCCTATAGCCTTCATGCAGTGACCATTACCAACTAACACAGATTGAGGGACTGAAAAGTGTTCAAACGAAGAAAACCATTCCTTATGCATTGTCATGTGCTGAGTTGCTCCGGAATCGGCAATCCATA